GGGCAGTCAAGACGTGGGAGCAGTCTCTGTGGTTGCCAATCAGAATAGACATCAGAGAAGGCTTGAAATGGAGGAGAGCTCCCCAAAAGGTGCTCACGTGGCTGGGCAGGTCAGAACGGGAGAGACAGGGCAGGCGTGGGGAGTGGAAGACTTGAGAGAGCACGTGCTATCTGCAGACGCTGTCGCCCTGCGGACCGAACCCATTGCTGCTGTGCAGGAAGATGGGCTCCAGGGAGCCAGAGAAGTTAGACATCTGGAATTTCATGTGCAATTTCCCAAACCTCGAAACACCAAGCGGGCTAAACAAAACACGTCCGTAAGTGAAACGCAGCCCAGGCCAGGCTACTGTCACACAGCTCCGGAGCCTGGAGGGGAGGGAAGCAGCTGGCTCCTGGTCCAGGCAGCACTGGCCTGCCAGTAGTGTGACCTGGAATTGCGCCAACCTCGCACGCCACCTCCCCTGGACCCACCGCCCTGCACAGGGCCTGGGGCCAGCCCTGACAGCTTGTCTCCCAGCCCCTCTGCACTGTTCCTTCGCTCTCGCTCTTCTTTCTGCAGAGCAGCCTCTCTGATACGCGTCTTATCGGCCACTTACCCTGCTCTGTACTGCTGCTGGAAGGGCTCTGATGCCACCGCCCTGCTATCTCTGCTTTTGCGGTTTCTTTTCTTGCCGCCCGGCTTCGTGTCCCCCGGCCAGGCACGGTGTAGCACCTGCGCACAGATGCTGGGTGACTAACCGGCAAGTGCAGGCCCAGGGCAAGCTGAGATGAGTCCCGAGCTCCAGTGTGCTGGACAGTTTAATCTATGCTAAGCGAGGAGTTGGACCCACATCAGTCCTTGTGCTGGAGGCATGCGATGGGGTCTTCTGGCTGCACCCTGCTTCTTAGCCCTGGGCCATTCAGTGATTGACGTAAGACCCAGCAGCTCTCAACAGGTGGTTTCTGCTCAGCAGCCTCAAAGTCACCTGGGAACTGGCTAGAAATGCAAATTCTTATCACCCTCCTTCCCCCAGGCCTCCTGACTCAGAAACTCTTTATCTTCCCAGCTGTGTTTTAACAAGCCCTCCAGGGGATTGCGATGAAGGCCAAGTTTGAGAACTGCTACTCTTAGACTTTGGTCTTGACTCTTGGGATTCCCCAAGACAGTCCCCTCTGTAGGAGCAGTTGTGTGGGGAGCAGGGCTGGGAAGCCCCAAACTTGTGCCCTGTGTTTGTGTGTGATGGGACAGGCCACATGGAAAAGTGAGAGACCCAAAAAGGGGAAGAGGTATTCTCAACGGGCCCCCGTGGTAAGAAGTGAACGCCCCACAGTTGGGGATTTTCATGTTCCTAACCTAAAAAAGGTATGAGGACCTGACTTGATCTCCCCGGAGCCAGAAACTACCTTGCAGGAAACTTCCACAGCCTTAGCCATCAAGGGGATGCCAGCCTGAGCGAGTATGTGTCTTCGGGAGGTGATCGCCACTATAGAGACGGGCTGTAGGCCTGGGCAGCACCGAGTTGTGATGCTGAAATGCATGACTGGTTCCTGGACACCAAGGGCCTAGTGACCCACCCACCACCCGGCGTTCAGGCCTCCACCGTTTCTCAGTGCAGCCCCGGGACCTCCTGGACCTCGGAGAATTCCCAGTTGCAGGCACTTGCACTGTGGGGCCACCCCAGGCCGGCTTCTCCTCAGGGGTGGGGCAGACAGGCACCAGGCACTTTGCCTCCGACTCGTTTCTCACCATACAAGAGCTTTGTGACATCAGAATGGCCATTTTCCAGACAAAGAGATTGAGGCCTTCAGAGTTGAAGTCTCCAGCAAGGTAAACACTGCAGTAAGTGGAAGGTGCCAGCGTGGCTGCAAGGCGTGGGCGCCGAATTTGTAACACAGCAACAGCCATTACCAGCATTAAGCTTTGAGGGGCCTCGGGGATGCAGGCAGCTGCTTGTCACCTTCAATCAGCAAGCTAAGGGGCCTTCCAGCTACCAAGGGGCTCAGCACAGGCTGCGCCCTCACAGAGCCATGTGGGGCCCAGAAGAGACCTCCCCCCCTCCCCCACCCATTGTCACTAGGTTTCCCCCAGAGCAACTGTGGCCTGACTGCCACAGTTTGGGGACACCCCCTCCGCCACCCAATGTCTCCTCGGGGGTCCAGAGCCCTTGGAGAGATGAAGTGTGTCAGGGAACAGGGGCCACACCCTAGGGCAAGTGTTTCCCTGTGAACTCTCCCCCAGCTTCCAAAGGGCAAAGGAATCCCCACTCAGGAGGCCCAGGCACCCGCTTCCTCTATTGTATTATAAACTTTGCTTTTGGATACTTTTGCTTGTATTACAATGAAGAGCTTCAGCAACCTGGAGCCATCTGTGCCTTTTGAAAGATAGCAAAGCATTTTAACCGGGCTGGGTGGCTTCTTGAGAGAAAAATGGACCACCTGGAAATACCAGTGGGTAAATATATCACTGTGATGAAAAGCAGGACCCTTATGTCGTGCAGGGGCGTGTGGCCCCCTCAGGGAGCCCGCCTCTGATTCTCCCCCTGGTGGCCATGAGCACACGCAACACCCAGTCCCCATCCTTGGCGCCAGGCTCCTGGGCAGGGGAAGAAAGGGGAGGAGCATGCCTGGGCTCAGGGTCTCTGTCTCTCCCAGGGTGGGGAAAGTCAGGATCCCCTTCCCTCTTAAAATGACCCCCCCTTCCTCTAAGGCCTGGAGGCAGAAATGACAGGCAGTTGACAGACCACTGGCACCTGGGGTGAGTGCTCGGCCATGGACGCGTTCCCTTGAGAGCTCCAAAGCGCTTGCCAGGCTGCCCCCTGGTCAGGTCATTGTGTCCTTTCCCACTCCAGTGGTGGCTGTGGGGAAGAGACTTCTCCATAGGACCCCCATCACAGGGTCTCTCTCCTAGGCTGTTGTGTCTCATGGGAAGCTTGGAATAATGCCAGAAACCCCTTCCCCCTACCCTTTATTCTTTTTTTGGCGGGGGGGTGGGGGGACACCTTCTGAAGATACCATTAGCTTCTTTCATCTCAGTACATATTAGCAGAGGAGCCAGAGCCCTGTCTGATGTCCCAAATGCAGCCACGTGGTTTTGAGCTTGGGGAGAATTGGCCAACCTCACTCCTCCTTAGTTGCCTCCCTCTGACCCTGGTTCACACAGCTTCGTAGAAGGGGCTACAGCGAGGCAAGCCCAACCCCTGTGGGCACCAGCCAGCACCCACTCCCAGGTCAGCCCTCCCCGCCGCCTCCTAAGGCTGTTCTGGCTGAAGGCTGCCCCACGCTTATTTGCCAGCGAAGGTCAGGGCCCAGCAGGTTGTGGCAGATGCAGGCATTCGTATATGTTGTTTCTAACTCCATCTCCAAGAGTACGTGCCCCATTTCCCAACCCTGTGGGGTGTGGAGGGCAGGGTTGGTGTCCGCATCTTACAGATAAGGAAACTGAGTAAATTACTTGTCTGAAACTTTTCAATGTATGGTTTACATTCTGCCTCCCCACTCAACACACATAAAAGAGGGCAGATAGGGACACCGGGTGGCTCAGTCGGTTGGGCATCTGACTCTTGGTTTCGGCTCAGGTCATGATCCCACAGTTTGTGAGATTGAGCCCCATGTCGAGCTCTGTGCTGATGGCAGGGAGCCTGCTTGGGATTCTCTCTCTCTCTCTCTCTCTCTCTCTCTCTCTCTCCCTCTCTCTCTGCTCCTCCCCTGCTCCTGATTGTTCAGTCGCTCTCCCTGTCTCTCTTGCTCTCAAAATAAATAAACTTTTTTAAATGTTTCAAAAAGAGGGCAGATAAACATTTTTAAAGTGAAAAGCAATTTTAAAACAGAAAAAAAAAAGTAGGAATGGAAGAAGAAAGGAAGAAAATAGTTTGATAGCCCGCAGAAGAGACAGAGGACACTGAAGCAGAATGTGAACTTGAATGTGGCCCCAGCAATGCCCTCCTCCTCTCCCCTCTGTCCCTTGAGCACTGACCAGGGTCAGCCAGTTCTGACCTGGCCCAAGGGAGCAAGGTAATGGGTCCTCAGGCCTGATTCTTTTGAGTTCTCTGATGCCTCACCTGCCTCTCTGAGGAAGGAGACCCTTCCTCTCCCCTATTCCTCCCCCTCACCTCCTTCCTTGCCAGACGCCTCCAGGCTGGAGGACCCAGGGCTGGCCCAGACCTTAGGTCATGTGAAGGGAGGCCCTGGCCCCCAGACCTGCCGAAGAGCAGGGCTCTGGACAACAGCCTGCACTTTGGCCCCACAGCTGAGAAGCCCCCTGGGTGGAGGGAGGGATGGGGACAGTGAGGACAGAGCCACCTGGTCTGCAAGCTGAGCTGGTGCAGGTTCTGTCTCAGCCCTCAGCATGGACAACACACCCCCAATGACACAACAGGACTTGTGAGCTGGAGCCACTGAGATACCCCCAGGTACCCTGGTGATAAGTTCCCCCCAAACCCGAGCGGGCACATTTGGGGAAATGCTGTTTTCTCTTGGGCCATTTGGAGCACAGGCTCTGAGGGTGGGAGCCAGGAGGCTGACTCTGGAGTGCCCAGGGCTTCACTCTGAAATCACTGTGGGGCTGAGACCTTTGCTTCTTACCTGCCACCGACCTCATTTCCCCACCCTGAAGCCACCGCATAGACAGTAGCTACTCCGAGTATGAGCTTACAACACACCCCCCATGACGCATGTGGGTTTTATCCCACTTACTCATCAGCAACAGCCGAGGAAACAGGTCCTTTTAATTACCCCATTTTACCCATGAGAAAACCAATGAACAGAAACATTAAGTCACTTGCCCAAGGTGATCATCCAGCAAGGAACAGTGCGAGCGGGGTCAGTAATACCACATCATGCCAGATAGGCTGTTCTCACTCTTCAGAGGAGGGGGTCTCGCTATGAAATGCCAAGGCAGGCAGCCCCTGCAGAAAGGTGTCTCCCTCTCAGAGACCTGCTGGGGACAGCGCCCACCGCAGGGGAAGAGGGCCAGAAGGTGACACAGACCAGCGTGCTCTATATAGAAGCCTTTATTGGGAGGGGTCAGAGTTCATGGATCACCGGGAGGTGCAAATAGAGAGTTCTGAGGCTGCTGCCGTGGCGGGGGGGTGGGGGGGAGGCTGCGGTCCCACAGAGTGGCTTGGAAGGCCAGGAGCCTTGGTGCCGGTCCCTTGAGGGCCTTGCCAGAGAGTGCCCCTGCACCCTGGAGTCACAGAGTCTCCCTCCGGGGGTCCCTCGGGCCTTGCCACCATCCATCTGTCTCTGTGGACCCCAGGGGTCAGCAGAGGAGCCAGTCCGCCTCGGTGGGTCCCTCCTACTTGGCTGCTTTTCCTGGGACTCCCCATACAGCCAGTCCAAGGGGTCAGCAGCACCATCCCTGGGCGGTGCAGGCTGCTGGCCAATGAAGCGGGTAGTGATGTCCCGTAGGGACTCAGTAGGGCAGTTCGTCTCGAAGGCCTGGGCTGGCTGGGGCGGTCTGCCAAGTTGGGCTCTGGCTGTGGCCGCGTCCAGCACTGAAGTGGGCTGTGCCAGCTGACAAATGGACTTCACGTAGTCATCCAGGCTGGGGGAGGCCAGGGGTTCCTGCCCAGGCCCCCCGGGCGGCATCTCTTCCGAGGTCTCCCGAATCGTGGGCAGGTGGGCCACAGGAACCAGTAGCCGGGACCTCATGGCTGCCGGCGATGGGGAGCAGTAACCTGTTGGTGGACAGAGGACCAGCGGTGAGCGTCTGCCATCCTGTCACCCCTCCTGTGTCCCCTCCCTCATCTGAGAGGCTGCCTAGGTGAATCATGGGCCTGAGAGCAGAGTGAAGTCTGCAGACCCAAGCCCAGGCTCGGACCTCCTGGACTCTCCCTTTCCTGCTAACCCTGGACACCGTGTGCTTAAGAATCTGTCATTCCTGTAGTTTAAGAACCTATACAAATAAGAGAACCCGGCCTAACGGACTGGAGTCAGAGGGAACCTGGGAGTAAAGCCAGTCTCTGCCAGTTCCTGACCTGGGGACCTATGGCAGGGTCACCTCTCCAAGTCCACCCTTACCCGTCCAAAAAACAGGGTTATAAATACCCGCTGGAAAGGATGTAAGAAACACATGGAATGACCCTACACGTGAAATCTCTTCTAATGTGACGCCCTCTGCAGCTATTAGCCGCTAACTGCATCCCCTGGTCTCTCGTAGCCAGTGAGGCTGTGTAGGTCCCTGCCCTTGAAGAGAAACAAAACCTTTCCATTTTATCTCAAACCAGAAGGAAGCTGCTCCCTCTTACCTGTAGCTGAGGGAACGTGGGGAGAGCAGGGATGCCGGATGAGCAAGGACAGTCCTTGGGAAGACCCACAGAGCTCAGGGTGGAGGGCTGGAGGCCCAGCCGGCTGAGTCCCGCGTCCCGCGTGGAATGTGGGGACAACTGGCCCCTGTCCGGAGCGCTGGCCTCCGGGAGCCGTCTGGTGAACCTGGAGGTGTGGCCGTTGCTTTTATACTTTTCCACCAGCCATCAATTACTGTCACGAGGGCCAAAAATAGCAGTGCACAGGAAGGCTTTGGGAGGAAAACAGCGGGTGGGGCGGGGTTTGGCCCAGCAGCCAGCCTGGAGCTACAGGAGGCCCTGGGGGATGTTTACTCTACAGGGCAGGGGAGGGAGGGGCACCATTCCTGTGGAAGAGTGGAGTAGGGGCGAGTGGAATAGGGGTGAGGGAGTGGAAGGCAGAGGGAGGAGTAGGGGGCTCCAGTAAGGAGGAAGGTGTTCGCTAAGACCCAGAACTGAGGGTACACAATGACTTCCTGACTTACGGAAACATGAGGCCTTGGGACAGCACATTCTAGTCCTGTGTCTGTCTGCATGCACTTCCTCACCTGTGCGGCGAGGGCTGCCCAGAAGCCCGGAGGTCCTCCTCTGACCTCGGTTTCCTTCTGATTTGACCAGAGACAGCTGCAGACTGACAGGGCCTCCCCTCCATCCCATAGGGGGCAGGCTGAGGGACAGTGGAGTCGTGGCTGGGGGGACAGCGTGGAGGCTCATACGCGGCCCATGCAGGGACATAGGGCCAGCAGTCCCCAGCACAGCTGACCCCTGACCTAGGAGGCTCTGCTCTGCTTTAGCTCCTTGCTTCCAGCCCCAGGGCAATTCCCCCTGCCTCCTTCCCTGCCAGCTCTCCAGAGCCTTCCAATGGCATATTTGAAGCTTCAGCCTCAGTGTGTCCGGCCCCACTGCCCTGCCCCAGCCGTGCTCTCTTTTCCTCCTGACTCTCATACCCAGCACCTGACTCATTTGATCTCCCTCCACCCGGGTCAGCCAGGCCGGCAGGCACGGGTCTCTGTGAACAGACATGCTGAGGTGTTTTAGGTGGGGCAGCAGCTCAGAGGAACCCCACTTTGGGTTTCCTTACTGCCCCGTTTAACTCCAGTGAATCAATCCAGTCTCTCCTTTGTTGGGAGGGTTAGTTACCTATCTGTGACTGTGTAACATCAGTGGTTATCAAAAATCACTCTGGTTTTTTGTTGTTGTTGTTTTCTTTTTTAACAAGTAGTGCAAGGCCATTCCAGAAAGCTGTGTGTACTTTTGATAACCTTGAACAAAGTGGAACTGTTTTCTCTGTGGATGGCGGAGTGTTTTAAGCGATGACTAACTTACTATGAAATCAACACTGCAGGGCACATCCCCCGTAAGGCCTTCCGGGGATATGAAGAAATTTCTACAAGGTCCCTTCTTCTTGCAAGGCTTCCCATGCCTATAAGGAGAAAGAAATGGAATTTGTGAATCTAGAGTGATGTTCAAGATAGCAATGGGAGAATGATGTTCAAAGTTCACTGCCCAAAGGCTAGTATCAAAGCAGATTAGGAGCCTGGAGCTGGGAGGACCACAGCTCTGGGGAAAATGAGGCCGAGAAGAGTTCAGACAGATGCTCTGAAAGCAGGCTGGCCAGGCACACGCATGGAGGCCGTTAGGCTGGGCACAAGGAGCCTGGAGGTGGTCGCGCATACATAGGAGCCTGCACTAGGTCAGAAACAGAATCAAAGACCTGAGGGGTGTGAGTGGCACCCCTGAGACCTGAGGGCACTCGCTGAGGGTGCCTCTGGAGGGTTCTGACAATGAGGACCTCAGAGTCTGGCAGAAGGGCAGTAGGTAGCTGTGCCATCTGCAGACCTTAGGAAATCAAGGCTGATTGGGGGCACAGAATGAGAGCTGTTGTAGATCTTCTGAGTGTTCATGCCAATGGTGAACCATGGGACTGGCTGTGTCCAGGTGGTGAGGAAAGCAAGACTGGCCCTCGGGAAAGAAGGCAGCTTGGAAATATGGGGGTGGGTCGGGCCCACTCGAGTGGTTACTATGGCAAATGGCGGCAGTGTGGGGAGAAGGGTGAGGCTGAGACCCAGCTCCAAGGACCAGCAGGGAATGGAATCCAGCGCCCTGCACATGTTCGCAGCAGGACCTGGTGACCGTGGGGCCTCCTTCCCAGGTGCAGTGTGGGGGAGGGGTGTGGGAAGGCTCTCTGCTTGGCACTCTTGTCACTGTGGCCATGCTTCTCTGGAACATGTTTCCTTACTCCTGTGTGGACGTGCTTGCTGGATAGCAGCTGGGTTCCTGTGGGACGCCTGACTCAGCCGCTCTGTCCCAGGCCGTGCCCCTGGCCAGACGAGAGCTGAGCAGTGAAAGGGCACGCCCCAGGTTTCCTCTGGTCAGTCACATGGCCTTACGCCTTGGAGCATGTAGAGGCTTGTGTACCTTCCCCCTGGGGAGAACCCCAAGGAGGAGAGGACGTGTTTGGGGCCAAGAGTGTGCAGGGCATCCCATGGATGACAGGCTGGCCCTTACGGGGGCTTGGGGGAGGGTGGGCAGTGACCCCCGAAGAGGGCCGCTCTGGGGACTGAGGCTAACCTGTGTGGGTCCCCACAGGAGGAAGGCGCTTTGATCATTGAGGGACTTCTCAACATTGCCTGGGGACTGAGGCGGCCAATCCGGCTCCAGATCCAGGATGACAGGGAGCGAGTGCATCTCTCGGCAGCCTCCTGGACGCCTGGACAGCCCAGCTGCCACCTGTGAGTGCCGGGATGGCTGAGGCAGGGCCAGGGGGCCTCCCTGACAACTGTTCAACCCCGCTTACTTTTCGAGAGGTTCGGGGGCTGGGGTCCTCAGTCTCAGGGCAGAAGCCCTGCTCCATCATGGGGCACATGAGAGCACAAGCCAGCCTTAATCCTTGTCACCCTGCGACTGCCTGAGCCCATGGCCTCACCTGCCAACAAGTGATCTTTCTAGATGATGACCAAGTCACCTCACTCTTGGAGAATTTTCCAGACTCCCATCACCTCCAGTTGTGTTTTTCATACATTCACGGGAACCACCTTATCTGCAAGGAGGCAAGCTACAGCCAGGGGGCTCCCCCCATCCTGGACAAAGTGAATGTTTTTTGGCATCTGTTCTAGCTCAAAAATTCACACAGATTTCACCTCTCACTGCTCTGCTCTTATTTTAATATCAGAATTTGTTTTATAAATGTACTTGGACTCGATGCCAGATTTATCTTAATATCAGAAATACGTTTGAATCGTGACAAAACAGGTCCCTATTTTATTGCTTAGTGGACATTTGCCTCCTCTTGCCCTGTCACCCCCAATAAAGGGCAGTTGGCTGCTGTGCTTTGCTTGCTCCTGCCTATAATGAATCCTTCTGAGAGGCAGAAATTCAAAACTTCCTCCCCTTCAAAAATTCAAGTACAGGTGCTATCCTGAGGACACTGAACACCCCCCGCCCCCCGCCGCCCCGTTGCACCCCATGCAGACTTAGAGTATAGCATTTGGATGGACTTCTTAGAAAGGCCGCTAGTACGATTCATGCGTCCCACTCCCTGGGGTAAAGCAGCCACGTGAGCAGACAGACAGCAGGACCCTCAGAGGCCCTTCTCCCGCCTGGCACCAGCTACCCTCACTTGGCGTCCACCCTGCCCAGAGGCCCAGAGGTTAGCCCCTCAAGGTTGCCCCTGCCCAACACTCCATCAGGCCTGAGGGAAGCCCAGAAGGCCCGCTCAGCGCTTGGCCACAGACAGCGCCTCCCCAGTCTACGCCTAGGAGTGCATGGGCACCGCCTGTGTCCCTGTGTCTATGCAACAGGGACGAGCTCACTCGGGTCAACGGGCCCGACTCCCTCTCCCTCCAGCAGACACCATGGCAATTCTTGGCTCTTCTTTTAATATTTTGCATTAACTTGGTGTGAAATCCAGCCTTACCTCAGCCTGCCCTGCTTCTCACCTTTGTCCCGTCCACAGAGGCATCCATCCTTGTCTCTCTAACTTGAGCTACTTCTCTCTGTCAGCAGCTCTGTGAGCACCATGATTGTCTTTTCAGAAAGGAGCCGCTTCTTCAGGATGGCAGGGTCACTGCCCAGGAGCCGAACGCTCAGACGGCGCCCAGCACCGAGAGTTCCAGAGACAGCTCAGGTAAGTGGGGCCTCAAGCTACCCGGGACCGTGTCTCACTCAGCCCGGGTAGGAGCGGAGGGGCTTGGCTCAGGACTGTCTCTGAAGGACAGCTTTGTGGAGGGGCACAGAGTGGCTTCAGTTGTCTTCAGGAATGACACTTGGCTGAATCCCTCCTCAGTATGAGGTAGTCTCATCAGCTCCTCATAGCAAAGGAAGCAGAGGCTTGCAGAGGTGACATTATTTGACATAATTTGCCTGAGT